TGCTGTACTGAGTGTAAATAGCAGAGCTCAGACTCTCTCATTCCTAATGCCTTCTCTGTCTTGTCTGTTTTTCTAGGTGTATGAAGGCCTGAAACCCACTGACAAGTGTGACAAGCCCCTGGATTATAGGTGAGTGTTTACTTATCCATTCTGCCTCTTTGATCCCCAAACCATTTGATTTTTCCAGCACAGATGCCAGAGCATTATGCACCACAGGGCTTCATGGAAGGCAGAAGATGAATCTGTAGAAAGAAGATAGTGCCTCATTCTTGTAAAGAAGACTTTGGTCCAAAAGTACACATACACACCGCATCCAAGGAACATAATAAGTCCTTGAATAAACAGAAATCTGACACTCTGACTGTTGTCACTGACATTCCCCTCAGCAAAGCAGGACTCCCTGCTAAGGACACAGACAACTTCAAGTGATCATTTCCATTCCTTGCAGGTGGCCTCTTCGTTACGACCAGTGGTGGGAATGTAAATTCATAGCTGAAGGCATCATTGACCAGGGTAAGTTCCAGGTTCTGTATATTCTGCCAAAATGATGGCTATCAGAAATGTGATTTCTGAAAGTATGTACCTTTCATTCAAAGGAAGAAAATAGAAAATCAGGTTTCTAGCAAGGGGAATAATATTGGATTATATATTAAAAAAGTATATAGAAATAAATATAAATAAATGTATTTATTAAATATATATAAATAAATAATGCAAGGGACAAGTAGATCGCACCCATAACTTTGCCTCCAATCTCAGTATCATTATCTTGTCCAATACTCTAACAATATATGCAAATATTCTCAATTTACAAAATGTGGAGTCCAAAGTTTGAAAGCCTGCAGATCCATGGTTGAGGCCAGATGGGCAGGGTGATGCAGAGTTGGGGACTCTGCTGCTGTGTTGCAGATGGCCATTTAGCCAGGGACTTCTACTCTCCATACATTGACAGAATAATGCTTGATTTGAACAAAAGATTTAGTTTACAAAGTAATGGTTGTATGGAGGCATGAACTCTATATATGTGCCTCACCCAACCTTCAGGGAGATTGCTAACTGTGATTAGATGAGATCAGTCATGGTTTCCAAAGATTTATTTTTGGGACATTGCACATCCTACAGGAGGTTGGGGGTAGGAGCATCCAAGAAGTATTTGGGAGCTCAGGAGGCTGGTGGCACCAAAATGAAGCTGGCAATATCACACTCATGTTATTTTTTTAACCAGGTGGTGGTTTCCGGGACAGTATTGCTGATATGTCTGAGGAGTTGTGTCCTAGCTCAGCTGAGAGCCCTGTACCACTGCCTTTTTTTGTCCGCACATCCAACCAGGTGCAAATGATATGTTTGCTTATTCAAGCTAAACCTTTCCTGCTTACGAGGGACACCAAAGGGACAAGTGTTTCAGAGACAGTTAATGTGATGATTAGGTCAGGTGCTGCATCAAGAGAGTTGCTAAGGGGACCCAGTTCTAATAGAAGTTGACACCTAAGTTCCACTTCCTCATTCCATCCCTGCCGCCATGATGTTCATTTCCCCAGAGCACAAATACTACACTTTCTACATCATTGCTCAGGATATAATCTTGGAGAGGCAAAATAGCGTTTGCAGTCATTCTTATGCCCAGAATTTTGCTGGAAAGTGCAGCACTATATCTGCTAGTCCTCCCAACACAGGATCATCTCTTTTGGGCAGCTCTGACTTTTGGAATGGTTCTCTGTTATGGCACCTGGGCTGACTTGATCTTCATCCTCTAACTTGGGCAGGAAGCTTGAGCCCTATATGTTTCTCTTTGTTTTCAGGGTAGTGGTACTGGAGAGGCCCGAGACATGTATGTTCCCAACCCATCCTGCAAGGAGTTCACCAAATATGAGTGGATTGGGCAGATCATGGGTGCAGCCCTGCGTGGCAAGGAGTTCCTGGTGAGTGTCAGATGGAAATTATTTTCCCCTTGAGACTGGTGGGTAGAACCCAAGCTGCCTTCTCCCTTCCTTCTGCACTGCACCAAATTATTTCCAGTCATGACAGGTGATCACTCTGTATGGCATATCCAAGGATTCAGATGAGCATTTCTGAGTTGGGATCTTATCCATAGAAGGAGTTACATATTTTCCAGAGGCATACAATATCCTGAAGTATGATGTCTTCTTCATCCATGTGATCAACATAATATTTCATGGAATACAGAAGTTAATCATTACCTTCACCCTGTGTGACAACTGCATATAGCCTGAGGAGTGAATGGCGTAAAGTCAGTTCTTACAAACTAGGGGTCTCCAGCCTTTTTGACCCTGTAGGTACTTTTGGAATTTTGACACAATGCGGTGGGCGCAGCCCCAAATGGCTGCCACAGGAGGCAGAGCCGGCCACAAAAAGGCTGTCATGGCTTACCATCAGCCACACGGTGAAGACCCTTGTGCTGTGGTGGTAGCTGCTGCCAAAGCAATGTTTTTAAAAATCTGCACAGCCAGTCAGAAACCTGCCTGGGCAAAAGCCTCACCTGGCCCTGACCACTTCCTAAAAGCCCTTGACGGGCACCAGGGAAGATACTGGTGGGCATCGTGGCACCCATGGGTACCATGTGAGGGACTCCTGCTTTAATCTTTTAAATTGGCAGAATCAGACTCCTCAATAAGAACAATACCTGGATTTCCCCCTCTTTTGCTGGTAATGCTACCCTCAGATAGAAGGGGAGTCTGCCAGTCCCAGAGCCATTCTTGATTAATATGGACTATCCCATTATGGGTGGGTTTTCTCTCTGTTTTTGCTGTGGTTCGTGTCCTATCAGTGGATCCTGCAGTTGGTCCCGCAGGTAATTCAGAAAATAGTGGGTTTTATTTTTTTTATTGCAAAATTCTGACGTTGGGGTTAAATGCAAGTTTTTACTTTGGGACAATGATAATGTGAACCTACCAGTTTAAGGCCTTTTCTGACATTGCCTTTATTTACATTATTTATAGTCTGCCTTTGTCACTGAGACTCAAGGTGGGTTATGCCATGTGAGTTAAATACAGTCAACAGGGTGGGACATCCAAGAAATCCAAGCAATAAGGTTTGGATTTCAGAAATCCAAAAATAAGCAAAAATTTGAAAATGGAGCTGAGAGAAAGCTTAAGTAGTAACATAACACATGAAATGATACAGAAATTACATAATAGGGTCACAACAGCAAGAGACAGTATGTACTCTACACAGTAGCACCATCCATAGTCACTATTCTTTACCAAAGTAACTTTCAGAAACATTCTGTTACAGTACAGTTCCAATTACCTTTGTTAAAAGGCCCTCTTTAATAATTCAGTTTTGCATAGTTACAGAAAGCCAAAAGGTTGGGAGAGATATAGAGCTGTTTTACATATCTCCTCTCTCTATCCCTGAGGTCCTGGCCCTGCCTGGCTTTGTCTGGAAGCAGCTGACGGGGGAGGAAGTGAGCTGGAGCAAGGATTTCCCTGCTGTTGACTCTGTGCTGGTGAGTCACTGTGAGAAGACTGGTCTGTGGACATCGCTGATGCTTGTGGTCAGGCTTCTGTTGAGCAGATGTTTGTACATTTGGAATGCTAACCTGGCAGAGCAGCTTTCTTAATCTAAAACTGTCATTTGGCTGAAGGCGGGGCAGCTTTCTCCCATATTTATATTTAACACAGGAGAAAGGCCCACAAATATTACAGCTTGCAACCACACAATCTGTGCGGATACCTAGCCGTGGTGCAGACTCCCTTGGTCATGAGAATGCGTTATAAAGGCCATCTGGTGAGGGCTGTAATTTATATGAAGTCCCAGTCAAATCTTTTCTTCTCCCACATGCCCATGGAAGACGTGAATGAGATCATTCTCCCCCCCCCCCCCCCCCCCCCAAAAAAGCCGCCCATGTTTAGGTGAAGCTCCTGGAGATGATGGAAGGAATGGACAAAGAGACCTTTGAGTTCAAGTTTGGAAATGAATTGACCTACACCACAGTACTGAGTGACCAGCGCATGGTGGAGCTTATCCCTGGTGGTACGCGCACTGTGGTACGCCATGAGGACCGTCTGGACTTCATCCGACTGGTACAGGAGGCACGGCTAACAGAGAGCAAGGAGCAGGTAACACACTGTGGAAATGGGGACCTGCCCTGCTTTCCTGGAGTCCATTCTCCACCAGTCAATGTCTGTTCTCCTTTCCTTGGCTGCCTCTTGGTGGTTTGTTTCCCAGATCCTGGAGAGTTTTTATTTTATTTATTTATTTATTATTAGTTCGATTTATACCCCGCCCTTCCCACCAAGGCGGGCTCATTGCCTTGTCGTTGGGATACACGACAAGGACACATCACCTTTACCTTCCTCTCTCCACCCACTTTTGAGTTTTCAAGCCTTCTATACCCAGTTAGGTTTGCCAGGTGATCAGAAGAAAGAAGAAAAACCCTAGCTTGGCCTGTTCTTAGCCCATTAACGGGTTTGCTATGCAGAATTCAGCTGGATATACTTTTTATGGCAAGAAGGTACACATGATCACCTGTCACTGAGGATCAGGCTGCCATTAAAAGGTTGGGGTCTGGCTTGAAAATTAACCATTGGATCCAGTTCCTTCATCCTTTATAATCCCCTATACCCTAAATATATCCAGACAGAGCCAGAAGGAGTTAAACATCTGTCTCAGGAGTTTTGGTGGAGGACCATTCCATTCAGGTGCCTGGCCATTTTGCCATTCCACCTCCAGAACCACAAACATAGTTTGAAATTAGGACATTTTGGGACAAGAAGATATTGACGCTATAATGGGCTGTGAGCAATTTATGCAAGCAAGATGTATAAAGTAGTATGATAAGACACATTAGGAGTCATTCCAGATCTTCTCATATACGCTAGGATGCCTCTTCTGAGTAAAACCTTCTGAAGCTGCCACCCTGCGACTGCCTGTTCATGTATATGTATATAGTATAGTAGATGATCAAAACAGCCCCCACACTTCTGTGCATAACAGAAATGTTCAGAAAGGCATTTTTATAAAGGGATTAGAACATAGTATAATGGAATGGCTTAGGAGACCATTTCTGTAAGGATAATATTGTATCCTGTTGCAAATATCACCTTTCTACTATAACATCCTTTACCTTTGTAGCCGCCTTTCATTATCATGGTATATCATGTCTTAGACAGGTGTGGTTTTTTCCTCAGTGAAGAAGGCTAGGTATAAATGAAGATAATAAATAAATATGCAACCTGGAGTCTAGCACTTCTTCTGAAAGACTGGGTATTGTTTTCAGAGGGTTGTCTGATAGGTGAGGAGATTCTGAAAAAGCTTGACAGATAAACTGCATGCAGTGTATGGGATGGCCAGTAGCCGGGTTTTTCTGGAGTTCTTTCCAATCCATCCTTTCAGTGCTGTGTACTGCCTTCTCCATCTCTTCTTCCCTGCCTTCCAGATTGCGGCCATGCAGGCTGGTCTGCTCAAAGTTGTACCTCAAGCTGTGTTGGACCTGTTCACTTGGCAGGAACTGGAAAAGAAGATCTGTGGTGACCCTGAAGTGACAGTTGAGGCCCTGAAGAAGCTCAGTAAGTGTCAGAGGACTTGCCCTCTTTGTTGGTAGCATAGTCATGTATGGTTCTTACCTGCTGCACTGGGCAGGGGCACATAGCACAACTTCTTCATGGATGAGGTACAGGTGTATGTGAATTTAAACTAGCGATGTGTCTGGCAAATAGGGCAACTGGATCCTTAATGTTACAGCTTCTTTATAGTGATCTTATGTAATACCAGGCAACTGTGAGTCAGCATGGTGTAATGTTATGGGAGAAGGGCCATGCCTCAGTGGTAGAAGGTCCTGGATTCAGTCATCGTGATCTTCAGTTAATAGGATCAGGTTGTAAGTGGCATGAAAGACCTCTACCTGAGACTTTGGAGAACTGCTGAGAGAGGCAACACACATTGTCTACTCCCCTCCCTTGGTGGGAGTTAACAGCCCTTGATAGATCAATGTGTACAATGTTTAGTGTTGGATTAGGCTTGGAGACTTTGGGCCAGTCATTCTTCTCAATGTAATCTGGTTGTGAGGGTAAAATGGAGGAGTGGAGAATGATGTATACCACCTTGAGCTCCATAGAGGAAGGATGGGTTAAAAATTTCCTAAGTAAATAATATGAGGTGTCAGATATCTTGGTTTGTGCGCTCAAAGGAACAAATAAAGAGTTCATTGCTTTTTCCATGAGTGTGGTCCACTCAAATACCAGGCGTATATTTTCTTTTTCTTTCAATCTAAACTTGGCGTTAGTGCACTTAGCATATTTTGTGCTCACAGTGGATTTTATAAAAGGCACTATGTTTCTATCCTTCACCCTTTCTCATATAGCTCGCTTTGAGGATTTTGAACCATCAGACACCAGAATTCAGTATTTCTGGGAGGCACTGAACAACTTTACTAATGGTGAGGAAATACAAGCACACAGTTGTTGTTTAATGTTGATGTAAAGGAACATATGCCAGTCACAAATTGGACAGTGTGTTCTACCTGTTTTAGGGGGTTCTTCCCACTGAATACAGAACACAGCCACTTTCTGCAGGAGCTTTTTTTTGGGGTGGGGGGAGGGGAGAACCAGCTGTAAGAATTTTCCAGTACTGTTTGATGATACCTCTTGCTTATACCAAGTATTGAGAGGAGGTCTCTAGAAAGGCAGCATATACATTTTCTAAATAAATAAAAAGAAGAGCAGTGAGGCAAGGGGAGGAGAGTGGAGGAGATGAACCTCCCAGGAGCTGTTATAATTCATACTGCTGTATATCCTGCAGCTGAACTGTTTTTATAGTTTGCATTCACAACTCCATCTCCAATATTACCTGGGTTCCGCTCCTGCCAGACACACTTGTGTATGAGCTTGGCTTATGTTGTCCAGCACTTGCTGGATCAGAAGTGCTTTCTGGCTTTCAAGGGCTGGATCAGGCCCACTTCTTACCTACATATTGGACAAGCTTGTTGCGGAGAGGGCCTTCTTGGGAGTTTCTGATGGTTATATATTCTTCCCCTCAGAGGATCGCAGTCGCTTCCTGAGGTTTGTTACTGGCAGGAGTCGACTTCCTGCTCGAATTTATATCTACCCTGACAAATTAGGGTGAGTGTTGCTTAATTATCTATGTGTGTGGTCATGGGGGATGGGCAGCACTCTATAATGGGGATCGTGTGGATAATTTCTGTGGATAGAAGGGATTTCCATCCATGGAGTGGGATCTCCATGCTTCCCCTTTCCTGGTACAGGCTAAAATTACCCCCTGCTGCTGTTGCAGAAAAAGGGACCTCCAGGAACAGCACTTGGGGGGGGGACTTGAAGATCTGCTACAGGGTGTATGTCTGTGAATACTCCCCTTCCTTGGTGGGATGTAAGCCTCTGTTTTTGTTGACTGATAGAACCTTCTTTCAATAAATCTCACTGACTTTTTCTTTCCCCAAGCTCTGAGACTACGGATGCTCTTCCAGAATCATCCACCTGCTCCAGCACGCTCTTTTTGCCCAACTATGCCTCGTAAGTCTCGCTCAAGAAAACTTGTGAAGGAGGCAGTATGTGTGGGACTTTGTCCCAGTGGCTGTGCCAGGGGCTTGAGAATGACGGTTGCAAGAATGATAATTCCCTGAGAGGTGTGGGATGGTCACACGTGGCACGGTCAGAATGTAATAGGGAGGAGCAGCTGGTGAAAGTGGGGGGGGGGCAGGACGATGACAGCTGGTGAGCTCATGGTCATGATAGTTGGTGGAGCAAAGAGAAGAGGTAAATGTGGGAGGAGAGCTGAGCAGGAATTCAAGATACAGGGAGTAGTGTCTTGTCAGTAATAAACACACGGGGCCTTTTTTCAGCCAGAGAATGGCTGCATGCTTGGGAGTGAGGGAGGGCTGTTCTTGGCCAGAGTGTGCGCAGAAGTGTAAATGTGGGCTCTTGCTACAGCTTTTCCTTTTTCATTTGCAGTGCCAAGGTCTGTGAGGAAAAGTTGCGTTATGCAGCATATAACTGTGTGGCCATTGACACAGATATGAGTCCATGGGAAGAATGATGCTACATGGGACGTCTAGCCAAGCAGCTCTTCTGCCTTTTGTAGTTGCTACAGGAATGATATATACATACACATATATATAACAAATTACCATGTGTGAAGATACCCTTGTGTTGACAACCAGACTCAGGTGTAAAATTGATGGATGGGGCCTTGGACTTTAGAGGAGTAAGGCCAAAAGGCACATGGGGAATAATGAGATGTTCTCCTCATGTCTGACCAAGTTGAGAGAATCTGGATAATGAACAGACAGTGTGGCTCCAGTAGTACTACCTTGTTTCTCTCAAAAAGATCCCCCAAATTATCTGACAGGAAATTATTTAAAATATATTTTATAGTTACATTTGGAGTGACATATTTTGGGACATTTTTATTCTTTGTTTACAACTAGTCACCTTTTCCATTCATCCTCATAGGATTGAACCAGATGTGAAAGATCCATGATCAAATCTCCTGATGTTTTCTTTAACATGAAAAGCTGCTATGAGACCCTGAGTTTGAATCAGGGCCACAGCGCTGAGAGATGAGGGATTTTCCCTGATAATGCTTCAGGAGGCTGATTTCCCCTGAAGAAATAATACAAGGGGGGAAAACTGTGGTTTAATTCAAAGTAGAGTTCCCCTGCACTGTGACTGCTTTTTTAAAGTAAATATTTGGCGATTGGAGCACAGGTCTCCTGAATAATAATTTGATTCTTAATCTTTGTGTCTAAAATCAAACTGACATTTAGGGGTCCTATACTATTGATAATTTCTGGGAGCAGAGTTCAGAAGCTCCTTCATAACAATGGCGCCAATTCCACGTCCCTACCTATCTCTGTGCACAATTACAGATCAAAGTTTTCAAAACTTCTCTTGCTTGCTTCCCATTGTATCAAAAGTGAAGATTTTGTTTGCTTGAGCTGTTTTATTTGAGTGCTATGTACCAGAGATCCATTCTCACCACTAGTGGGCATTATGGAACCATAATTAAAAGGAATAATCTCCCCCATTCTTCATGGTTTTAAAGTGTGCCCTCCCTTTGCCAGCAGTAGCTGGCAATCTTTCCTGTTTCCTTTTTTCCTTGCCCAAAGAATATTTGCGTACAGGCATGACATGCCAGGGAGGCAAGACTCCCATTACCTCCCAGAAACAAGAGATGCCAAAGGTCACTGAGATCCAGCTAGAATCACTATAGTCACTTCACCCTCTGAGCTTTGCTGACTGCCAGGCCAGTTAGCCCTGCCTGCCCTGACCATTTCTGTGGACCCCACTTTATTTTTTCTTGCTGTACCACCTTGGCAGAGGGAATACCACCTTTCTTGGATAATTTTGGTGATTCAGAGAGACAAATTTGGCATTCTAAAAATAACAGGGTTTGAGAATCACCTTTCTATGATACTGAAGGGGGGGGGACAGTTGGAAGAAAGTGTATTTTGAAGTTAGACTCCAAAATTCTTCAGTGGGACGGACCTGCCAGGTTCCAGGGCTAAATGGAATCTGCGTGGCTGTCACACTCAGAACATCACTTTTCACTTGATGCAAATAGATGCAGCTTTTTTAAAAAAAAATATTATTTCCCACTAACAACAATAGGCTCCCTTTATGGAGCTGGATGGAGCTCTGTGGCTCAAGAGCTCTGTCCACCTACTGGGTCCAGGATGTGCTGTCTGGATTCTGGCTGCCTGGGTGGGCCACTGAGCTGATGGCTATTGTGGCCATATAATGGGCTTGATTGGTAATTGGGGAGGTGAATTTGAAGGAGGGAGGGTGTCATCTCTGCAGCTGGGCTTTTGTCATGCAAAGCAGGGCAGGAAGGGAATCGTAAATCCCTGGACTTCACAGCACCTTAGAGCTTTTCAGCAGCATTCCCCACCCCCAAATTATCTCAATTTTCCTTTGAAACTCCCCTGCTCTTGCAGTGCCCCAGCCCTTCCACCTGAACCGACTGCTGCAGTCCCTGGTAGTGTCCCTCCTGCCCCAAGCCTGAGGAGGCAGGGACAGGCTTATGTAGGATCCAGCGAGCAGACCGTCTGTGGATTTTGCAAAAGAATCAAATGAGGTGGGGAGAAAAGTGACTGAATCCCCAGCTTCACATTGGGAGCTTTCTTTGGTGAACCAAGAGCTTCCCTCCGCCCCTTTGGACGCACACAGAGCGACTTCTGTATCTGCAGGAGAGGAGGGGGAGGGTGACGTGAGGTGCTTGCGGCCCCCCTGAGGAGAGTGACAAGAACTGGGGATTAGTCGGCAATGCCGGGTCTCCCCTGCTGGGTGAAGACCTGTAGCGCCTCCGGCCCTCTGTGGTGGGGAATTAATTACAGACCACACAGCAGGCCAGGGAGGAGCCGCGACCGACGCCCAAGCTCAGAGGCAGTACTCGCAACCTCCAAAGTGGTGCCAAAGGAAACATTTCCTCCTCCGTGGCTTTTCCCGTGGCGGTACAGGGGTGGGGGTGGGGAGTAGCGTGTGGTAAAATTCTTTCCCCTCACGGCTTGGGGAGGGGGGTGCCTTCTCAAGGTCTGAACCTGACAACCCATCTATAACATGTACAGGGAGGGTTTAGCCTGGAAGGCTCTTGGGGGTGGAACTCATGAACTTAGCAACATTATTTCCTTCCCACCTCAGTTTTTGCTTTGGGCTGAACAATAAATTGGGGACTCCGCCCACAATAAGGTACATGGCCGGCAGGTTTGAAGGTTTGAAACTGAAGAAGGAAGGCCCTCACAGGAGTGAGGTTTGCGGGTATTTGAAGAGGAAGCATGGAAGGCACACTTGGGTCCTTGTGTCACTGTGCACAGATGGTCAATACCTGAGCAGCTCTTTTTAACAGACCTTGAACTGCAGCACAGTGGATGATTGGCAGCATCTCCAGCAGGAGGTGCTGCAGTATAACCTATAGTGTAATAAACCTTGGCTTGCTTTCCGTCGAACCAAAGACGGTTAAGAGACTGTTGGTTTCCTTTGGTGTCTACTCGCATTTCTTTTGCGTCAGGGTTGCACCCGAGAAAGCTCTGGGGAAGGGGGAGTGGCAGGAATGGACCAATCATTAATTTACATTTTTGACTGGCTGGAAGCTGAACATCAAAGACTGCTGCTTACCTGTCCATTCCTCATACCCTATGCCCAATTTGTCTTGAATTTGATTTGTGCAGAAGATAGGCAAATCCAAACTCTGACTGGTCTGGTTCTTTAATGAACAAATAGCCAGGACAGTCATTATCTATCTAGGTAAAAACATCCCTGGATATTGTGCTATCATTCAGTGGTACCAGTTATTTGCAACAGGACTGGCTTGTCCACACAGGATAATCCAGTTGTAAATGGTTGGTTATAATGCAACAATCACACAGTATCCAGTGATGTAGTCAGGAAGTGTTTAAGCCTTTTTCCTTAAGCATGTGTAGATGTAGTCAGAAAGTGCTTAAGCCTTTTTTCCTATGCCGCCTCTGTATGTAAATAGCTCCTCTGAACTTGCAGTTAGCTCTGTAGGATGAAAGACAGGTACTGCATTTGCAGCTTTTTTAATGGGGGGCGGAGACTAATCACAGACCTGAAGTTGTAGATATTTCTATAAGCTCAGAAAGAGAACAAGTTTGGAAAGATTAAAGAAGGAAATATTTATATATGGATTCTGTTTTGGGTACTCCCCATAAACAATTTTCTATGTAAGTCTGTAGAATAGGTAAAGGTAAAGGTTTCCCTTGCTCGAAAGTCAGTTGAATTAGACTCTAGGGGGCAGTGCTCATCTCCGTTTCCAAGCCAAAGAGCCAGCGCTGTCCAAAGACTTCTCCATGGTCATGTGGCCGGCATGACTAAACACTGTTACCTTCCCACTGAAACAGTACCTATTTATTTGCAATTTCTTGCTTTTGACCTGCTAGGTGTGCAGTAGCTGGGACCAGAGACTGGAGCTCACTCCATCTTGTGGCACTCGGGTCTCGAACTGCCAAACTACAGACCTTCTGGGTCTGCAGCTTCAGCGTCTTAACCTCTGAGCCACAGCAGCTCCATAGAACAGAGGAGCTCCTTATTGGACATATGGGCTTTGTGGGGAGAGTGCCCCTTATCAATCCCCCAGCCTGCAATACTGACTATGTGTGTGAGCTTTGGTTTCAGTTTATTTTTCTTTCCTCTGTTTGTTGCTCTGCTTGTGGAATCTGCTCAGCTGTGGTCCCTGTGGCTGCTGACAAGACACCCCCCCCCCATGCCCTGCTCTGTGCTGGCTTCCTGCACACACTATGGAAAAATAAACACCACCAAGCAGCTGCTGTACAGCCGTTGCCAAGATGGGGATGAAGAACAGAGCTGATCACAGGGCAACCAAAGGGTTCAGTCCTATCATGCCTAGGCCACACTTCTAAATTTATAATCCTTCAAGTTCTCCCAGCATGATACAGTTAAAATCGGGGCCAGAATTGCTCCTTCAGAACCTCTCTCCTACATACTTTTCAAAGCAGCAATGATAATGTCCTATTGATAAACTTGCTTGCACTTTCACACAACACAAATTTCTGCTAATTGATACAATGTTGATACCTGTTTTTTTTTTTAAACTGGGGCTTAGGGCAGCTTGTGGGGCATTTTCAGTTGTGGAAATGGTACTGGAGGGAAAAGATAATTCCCCTTCTCCAGCACCGTGGCTCTAACTTGTATTAGGAGGGGCTCCGTGGTTGCTTTTTAGCACACCACATTCACACATCTAGAATTCCAGTTATACAACTCCAATATCTGGTGTAGTTGGACTTGAATTAAGTACATTCATACATATTTAAAATGTGAAATAGTCCCAATAACTGAGATAAGGTTTTAAATTATAAAATCCAGTAGGAAAGGGTGGGAAAATCAGGCCAGTTAAAAAAAATTCATCTGTATTGTGCAGCATCTCTTTCAGAGAGAATGTATGTGGAGTCACTGATTTGGTATGACTGTGGTCCTGTTCCAAAGCAATGTTTTTCCTTCGCAGAACACAAAATCCACTGTGATTTTGTTGGAAAGCTTCACCAGTAGGATAATAGGTCTCTGTCCATACCTTTTTGTATCTCTTGGATACAAAATATATATGCATTTTTAATTCTGGTGTGCTGTTATAATATATTTAAGTTCTTATGCAAGCAAAAATGTCACAGCAGAATTGATCTCAATTGGGCTCCCTATCAGTGATTGGACAATTTGTTTTGTTATTGTATGAGCCTTTAAGAACCCTTCCCTCCTTAATAACCCATCTTTGCCCCTGTCAGCATTGACCTTTGGGGTCTCAGTCTGCTGTTGGCAGGACAACTGAAAGGGTTGCTTTTCACATGTAATGTTTCCTTTTTTTGCATTTAATGCTACTGTAAATTGCATGAAAAAGTACACTATCTAGAAAGAGATGCCACTGCAAACTCCTTGGAGGGAAGGGCAGGATAAAATGCAGTAGAAATTTACATTTGGTTGTAAAATTGCTCTTTACTGTCTCAGCCCGACAATATCCACAAATAATATATTTCAGACTAAAAGGCAGTCTTGACATTACTTGTGATAATGCTCAGAGAGTTAACGTTCAGGGTACATACTTTTTTTATATATATATAAAGAGAATACATTATTTGCTGAGGACACCTTTGGTATGCCTCCAGCTCATGTTCCAGTTCCTTCCTTACTCTCTGTCACCAGGTTTTGACAAATATCCACCCATATATAAAATCCAAGAAGTTTTTATACAATTAACGTCAAAACATAACAAGACTCAAGATCATATATTCATGAAGAACCTTCTTCAGATTGGTAAACGCCCCCCCC